GACCAGGCACCATGGCAGCTGAAGCCGCTGCAGAGCCCAGCACCCAGGACTGGTTCAGGGAAGGTGGGGATGGATCTGCTGGTTCCCTCCCAGCCCAGCTCCCTGCTGCCAGGCGCCAGCAACAGCCCTGCCACGCCTGCTCCAACAGCCCTGCCTACCCCCAGTGTGCTGCCCAGCTCCATGGAGAGCCCCAACACTAAGCCGCTCATGCTGAGCCCCCTAGATTACAATGGCTCCACCCTGCAAGCACCCCAGTGCTGGTGGATGCCTGGTTAGTTCCTCTTTTCTTTGCCCTCATTATGCCGATGGGGCTGGTGCCAGATTAACAGGTAATCAAACTGTGGGGTGCGCCGCCTAGGGGGGCATGTCCCACAGTTTGAAAATCTCTGATCTAGAAGCTGTTGTAAATGGAAGTCAGAAATCTGTGGGGGCACGTGACCTTGTGTGTCCTCCCCCCATGTGTCGCCTCTGCTTTATATCTCATACTAACATTAAAAATTGTACATGTAGGAGATTTTCGAAGACACTATCATTTGGGCCTTTGAAAATCTCCCCCTATTTAACACTGCATAGTCCAAGGTTCAAAAATAAAGTGGTAATTCAATCTTTTTTGCTTCAGCCAAAATTATCCTCAGTAGCTGCTGGCACTCTTGAGTTCCACACCTGTGTAGGTGAATCTGGATTCCAAGGGGAAAATATTTTGCCTTCTGCAGGTGAAAAAAAGCGGTATCAATCACATTCTGTCACTCCTTTCCCTATGTCAGAGTCTTTTCCTCTCTCAAGGATGCAACTGGGGTCTTGAAAATGATTATTAATAATTTATATTGCAATAGCTTCATATTGAGGGCTCACTGGACTAAGCTTTTACAGTCTAAAAGACAGATAGATGAAACAGAAAAGCAGGCAGTGAGGGAAGCAAGGTAACAAAAACAATAGGCTGTTTTATCATAGAATAATGGGTGTACAATTTTTAGCTGTAGCGGTTAACACAACTTGCCACCTACCTTGCCATTATCATGAGCAGCAGTTTTCTGTATTCATTACCATGGAGGAGAGTTTTAAAAAGGAATCTAAGGTGGTGGCTTTAGAGTTGTTCATAGACACCCCAAACATTTGAACATGGGGTTCAGATTTGAAATTCATTTAGAAAAGATTTTTCCTCTTATACAGAGCTGCACGCACTGCATTTTCTCTGAAGAATCACAGACACACAAAATTACAAATTTAGCAAAAGTTACATAAAATGACTATGACATTTCCTCAACCTACTGCAAGAATTGAAGCAATGACTGCAAACTTTCATATATATATATATATATATATATATATATAAAATAAAAGGGAAAATGTCACCCAGTCCTATTTTCTTTATAAGTTAAAATCAAAATGTTGCAATTTTCTATCAGGGAGGGGTGGAGGCCAGGATCCCCTTCTCTTCCTTTTTATTTATTTATTTAGTAAAACAATTGGTAATTTCTAAACACTAAAGCCTGATCTACACGACCAAGTTAGGTTGATGTAAGTTGCCTTGCAACAACCTATGTGTGCGTGTGTCTAGTGTCTACACCAGGGGTTGGCAACCTTTCAGAAGTGGTGGGCCGAGTCTTCATTTATTCACTCTGATTTAAGGTTTCATGTGCCAGTAATACATTTTAACGTTTTTAGAAGGTCTCTTTCTAGAAGTCTATAATATATAACTAAACTATTGTTATATGTAAAGTAAACAAGGTTTTTAAAATGTTTAAGAAGCTTCATTTAAAATTAAATTAAAATGCAGAGCCCCCCGGGACTGGTGGCCAGGACCCAGGCACTGTGAGTGCCACTGAAAATCAGCTCGCGTGCCGCCTTCGGCACACGTGCCATAGGTTGCCTATCCCTGGTCTACACTAACACGTGCATCCTTCCAGCCCAGTGCAGTCACTCTCAGCCCTGTAGAGATGCACAAATAGCAACACAAATGTACAACTCAGCAGCAGCCAGCGAGATGCTCTCAACATGCATCACACACGTAAACCCAGTAACCCCCGAGTCACACACGGGACCCCCAGACACCACCTCAGAAAGCAACACGCTGCAGCTCCCAGGGTCCCCACAACAAAGGCCATTGCCCGCCCGGCCCGGCCCCGCACAGGCTTCGCAGACACCCGCGGTTCCTAGCCCAACCCCCCGCGCACCCTGCACGCACAGGCCCCGCGCGGCGCAGGCGCAGACCCCCCTCCGCCTCCCGGCCGCCGAGCTCGCTCCGCCCCGACCCGCCTGGCACCGCCCGCCCTGCCGGATCCCCGGCCTGGCCCGCCAGGTAAGCGCAGCCGCCAAGCGCCTCCCGGCCCGGCCGCCTGCCCCGCCGCCGGGCCTCGGAGCCCGGCCGGGCGGGGGTGACGGGGCCGCAGGGAGGCGCTGACGTGCTGCTACCGCGCCCCGGGCCTGCCCCAGCCGACCTGGCAGGGGGAGGGGGAGCGGGAGCCCCGGAGAGCGACACTGTCCCCCCTCGGTATCCGCTCGCAGTACAGGTACACTCCTCCAGTACCCCCCCCCATACCCCGCCCAGTACAGGTACACTCCTCCAGTAACCCCCCCAATGCCCCTCCCAGTACCCGTACACCCCTCCAGTAACCCCCAATGCCCCGCCCAGTACAGGTACACTCCTCCAGTAACCCCCAATGCCCCTCCCAGTACAGATACACCCCTCCAGTAACCCCCAATGCCCCTCCCAGTACCCGTACACCCCTCCAGTAACCCCCCCAATGCCCCTCCCAGTACAGGTACACTCCTCCAGTAACCCCCCATGCCCCTCCCAGTACAGGTACACCCCTCCAGTACCCCAATGCCCCTCCCAGTACAGATACACCCCTCCAGTACCCCCAATGCCCCTCCCAGTACAGGTACACTCCTCCAGTAACTTGACTGGCCACCAAACTTGACTGTCCAGAGGACAAAGAAAGTTGGCCCATGGGATACTTTTGGCAGACTCCCGGAGCATGCATCTACTAGGGCTGTGTCTATACTGCAAAGCAAGAGGGTTTGAATCTAGAGCCCCGGCTTGACTCGGGCTCAGACCCTCCATCCTGGTGGGGTCCTGGGAGCCTGGGTCTAAGTCCTCTGTTAGTGCGATTTGTGTGTAGACAGAAGGGAGGTTAGGCTTGAGCCTGCAGTGTGGACATACTCTATGAAATACTGCTCCATTCCATATGCCTGTAGCAAACTCTTACCTTACCGTCCTCTCCCCAGTCTGCTTGCTTCACAAACATCACCTTGGACAGAAAAAGCATTTTAACAGCTATCTTGGGATAGCCATAGTAAAATGCACTCTCCCCACACCCCTTGGTTTCTTGGTTGAGTGCATTCTCTATGTAAGCTCTTTAAATGCCTTTGGAGGAGTAGGGAGAAACATCAGGATATTGTCCTAACTCATTATATACAGTAACAAGATTGTGCACACCTTTAAACACTGTCAATAGCAAATCTTTATTTTCAACTTTTGTCAAAACAATATAGCTTGACAAGTGAAACCACTAATATAGATGCAGCTGTGCTCTAATATTACTGCATATTTGTCTGAACTTAGAGATGACAGAGCTTTCTAGTTTAGTTACTGAAATGACAATAGGACTTAACCCACATAACAGCAAAACTGCCAAGTATCCTCCTTTGATTGCTTATATGGGATTAAGTTTGGGTAGCTCATATTTTGAGGAAAATACACTATTATTGTTATTTTGAGTCAGTGATGTAAGAAATAGGTTGTATACTAAAGGACAATTTCAACCCTGGGATAAATGTGTGCTCCTCTCTATGGGCTTCCTACAGGTGTGGTAATGGTCAGGTTTTAACCGCACGTGCAAAGATTATGCATGGAAGTCTCATTCTTTTAAGTTCCAAGCTTCCTATAAACCTCAGGGACATGAACTTCTAAGGACTTTGCAGAGATCTGATGCACAGACCTCAACTACTCTTGAGTGTCTTGGTGGACCCGAGTCAGTGTAGTATAAGTGAAAGAAAATATTCTAATCAAGGAGGGTGCCAGCAGCACCAGGAGAGAGGTTCCACTGTCAGATTTTCCATCCAACTTCCTTCATTTGTGCATGTAACTTCAAATGCTGAGACTTTAAAAACAAAACCCACCCCTCCAGACAATGACAAACTATCTGGTCTTACAATGGTAAATCAGCTAGCTCACATAACTCTTTGGGGTTCTTTAAAGTAAGCTTAGACCCTACATTTTAAAATATTGGAAAAAACTCTTTATGATGACCCTTCAGAAGCTTGAAATGGTTTCCCTGCCAAACCCTTCTTTCTCTATTGTATGAACACTTTATTATTGTAGGGTCGCTGATGACTGTGCACCTTGAGTCTTATTAAATCAAAAAATACATGACTTTGCAAACAAATGAAAGGATAGTTTAAAAAAGGATAGTTTAAAAATTAGGGCTGCCAACCCTGACTTAGGTCTTTTTAACTAATGAACAGAGGTTTGTTTTTTTCTTTTTTCCCCATTTTCTCAGAATGGCTGCCCTTTGCCTAAGGAAATTAATACATCAAGCCACAAGGAATGAAACTAGTTGCATAAGTAAATACTTGGACATTCCTTTGGTGCAAACCATGCAAAAGACAACATTCTCTCAAGCACTGATGGTGATGGCTGGTGCTAAAAGGAGACTTATGTTTGTACCTACAAAATCATTTTGTACAACTGAAGAAGCTGAAAAGAAACCAGAAGGAAAGAAAAAAAAAACAAATGCCCAAAAAACATTTGGAAGCATTGGGAGGAAAATTCCTCAGCGGATCCTTCATGTAATTAGCGAAAATGGGAACAGCTTAGGAAATATGCTCAGAGGAGATGTGATTCGACTCATGAATGAGCGTGATCTGAAGCTTGTTCCACTGCGTGAAAATGAAGAGCCTCCAGTGTACAGACTAATGACTGGGAAGCAGATTCACGAAGAGCAGCTCAAACGTAGAGAGAAGCAAAAAGCAAGTTCAAAAGCAGGTAGGTGCCTTGCTAATATAATATTAAACACTTCGAAAACTGCTGTATTAGAAGTAGTGGCAGTAGATCAAATCCTGTTTGTTACATCAATGTAAATCCGGAGTACTGTCATCACAGTCAATGTTATTTTGGATTTGCATGCTGAAAAAGCAAAAATTGATTTAGTCTAGTTAATGTAGAAAACCATTCTGTTATGCTCTCATAATTAATATTTTGGCTTCTGGTATTGTTTAAGTACTTATATAAATGAATGACCTAGATTCTGGTACCATGGCATTCATATTGAATTTTTGTTCTTTTAAATGATCATTAATTTTTATGAATGCAAACTTCTTTATAAATGACAGTTTTCACAACTGAATATGCCATATCTATAAGAAGCATACTTTTGTCACTGACAGTCACAAAACATTGCTCAACATATAGGAGAGAAAATCTGGAAGCCTTGACAGCAATGTATTTACAGTGTTCCAAATGGACCCTTCCACTTTTTTATATAAAATAACCAAAATTATTCACTTTTTCCTCATAAATCATTCTGTACCCGTAGTTTAAATTATTGGGTTGATAACTTGGCAAGATGGAGCACTTAGAGAAGGTGTTTGTATATAGTGATGTCTGACTGTCTTGGGTTATCCTCATGCAAACTAAGAAATTGTTCACATTTTTTGATGTTTTCTGCTATTTACTACTGATTTGAGACAGGTGAGCTACTGCAGTAGCACCACTGTAACAGTTTTGGTTAGCTCTTGTTAAAATACCTACAAAAAGAAGTTTGTAATAATGGATATTTAAGAGCATATGCAGAGGGTGAGAGGAGAGTGAGTTGTGTTTATGCTATTACAGGGACTTATTTCTAACAGAATTCAAGGCTGTGTGATCTTTTGAAACAGAATGGAGATGGAGTGGAGGGGGTTGACTAATTTTAAAAAATTTTCCCACTTAACTATACAATGGGAAAACACTTAGCCTTCTTATATTTAAAAAAGCGTAATTTGGGATTCATACATTTCATGGCCAGGTACACCTTGGAACAGCCTTATTTGTTAAGTACCTGAGTTGTACTCAGCCTCATCTGAGACAGACCTTGACCAAACCTGGTTGGTCTGAAGAACATGGATTGAGTGACTAGAAATGGTAACTTTAAGATTGTTATCCTTTCCACCACCACCCCACATCTCTAGTTTAATATTGGTTAATGGTTATGAGCCTTATGGAAAAGAGAGCTCTTTAAGAGGGATGTTGAAGGAGGAAGGGCCTGCCATCATGGTAATGGGAACATGTTCCAAGCAGCATAGGAGGGGGCAGCCTGGTAATGAGCAAGATATGAGGGGAGGGATAGCTCAGTGGTTTGAGCATTGGCCTGCTAAACCCAGGGTTGAGAGTTCAATCCTTGAGGGGGCCACGTAGGGATCTGGGGCAAAATCAGTACTTGGTCCTGCTAGTGAAGGCAGGGGGCTGGACTCGATGACCTTTCAAGGTCCCTTCCACTTCTATGAGATACGTATATCTCCATATATTTAAATATGAGGACATAAGGTATTGTGAGCGTGCAAAAATAATGATAAACAGGTAAGATAGGGAACTCTTAATGGAGTAGGGAAGATGGGTTCGTTAGAATGAAGACACTTGTCTGACCTGTACTTTTCTCCTCCCTCCCCCCCAAAAAACAAAAACAACCTCCCAGTAGCCTCAGTGCATTAGAACACAGAATAGGGGTGTACACAACACTACTAAACTTAGTTTAAAGCCTATATATTATTGGTTATATTTTAACAGGGCCTGTTCAGCTGAAGGAGTTAACTTTTTCTGTAGCTATTGCAAAACATGACTTAGAGACCAAAATTAGACAGATTCAGCAGTGGATTGATAAGAAGCATCATGTCAGAATTTCTGTACAGCAAAGAAATGTTGCAGATGGACCAGAAAAGATGGTAAGCTATATTAAGGTTTTTTAAAGGGTTGATCAGCCAAATGTATTAAATAAGGCTACCAGTGCCAAGTGTTTCCAGGTATAATACTGCTTTCTTCCTTTGATAGTATACTCTTACCAGTATGTGATGGTTGTGACATTAGTACAGAGGGCAAAAACCTGCTTCCTTTTAAGTGAAGTTATTTCCATTTATCAGACACCACCCTTCAGGACTAATTGTCTCTTCACAGAGATAATTTGAATAATGCATTTACACAAGTAAATCTCACACATTGCCTAGAAATGTTTTAACACTGCAGTATTCTACTGCGTAGTTAGTTAGAGTAAGACAGAGTCTGGAAGTTGAAGCTAAACAAATTCAGACTGGAAATTAGGTTTAGCTGTTTAACAGTGAGAGTAGTTAACCATTGGAATAATTTAGCAAGGGTTATGGTGGATTCTTCCTAACTGGCAATTTGTTAAATCTCTTACATTGTTTTTTGGTTTTGTTTTTTAAGAGATGGTATAGTTCAAAAGGAATTACTCTGGAAGTTTTATGTCCTTTGCTCTACAGAAGGTTACACTAGATGATCACAATGATCCCTTCTGGCTTGGAATCTATGACTCTCTTCCTCCAATATGTATGAAAGCTAGCTTATGGTACTTGGCCACCTTGCTGACAAATGCAAAGCATCCAGCTTCTGCCTCCCTGCTCCTACTGGAGTACCTTCTTTAGCAATTCCGTTTACTGGAGGGTCAATGGGTGGCTTCTAGGGCATGCTTCCTTTTGTTTCAGTACACATTACTTTGCAGTGACTTACATCTGATCATGGTGGGTCTATTTGCTAATTTAGGAGAACAGGACTTAGTATCTCACTGTGATGCAATTCTTTGTGTGTGTAAATGTTAATGATTTACTTTAAAAGCAGAACAAAATTTTATTGATACAGATTTAATGAAATGCTTTTTGCAAGTAAGATTGAGAAGAACAGGGCTCCCCCTACTTGTGCAGGTATCTTCTATGACACCCTTCAGTCATTATGAATTAGCTTAAGACTGAATTTCAGAGTAGAGAATTTCACTGTCCCTACCTGACAGGTTCTCTACTTCTGACATTTTGTAACTTTTTTAGAAATGTTTCCTTCACTCAGTCACTAGTTGAGCCTACCACTGCAACTGCATGGCTAAACTTAGGCTAACCTTTTCTATTAAAAGATTTCATGGTCACACTATGCTTATAATTTCACTTGATTCTTAAGTGGAAAGATAATATAGCTGTAAAGGAGAATGTGCTTACTGGAACTTCACCACTGAAACAGCCTTCTAAAAGGCTGTGGTGATGAGTAGAGTAAGACATAAGTGATTATCTCTGTGCTGCACTCATAGTCCAAATCAGAGCTAATGTTGTATCAGATTAACTGTAAGAAACTGCCATAGAGGTAGACCAGACTTAACGTTTTAATCTCTCTTCACTTACTCTGAAGAATTATTAGAAGTGGCCTGCTTAATTCCCATTATTAATATAAACAAATTTTTATTTTTCTTGTTTTCAGCTGGCTCTCTTTGATCAGATTGTCAAGACTATGCCTGAGAAAGCTACTTACTTATCCCAGCCAAGAGTCATTAAAGAAGGAAGGAGCACCTGTGTTTTGAGACACATGTCAGACAAAGAAGCTAGTGAGTACAGGAAAATGGAAAAAGAAAAACAAACAGACCTTCTGAACAAGGAGAGTGGAAATGAAACTACTGAGTCGAGTGAACTGCAGTGATTTTAACCAAACACTTGAAGTGACTATAAAACAAAATATTCAGTTTTCTACATAAGCCATTATAAACTGACCCATGTGATAATAAAGCAATTGTCAATTCTGGCTGAAGTTGTCTCCAGAAGTCTCTAGTGCAGAGTCAGTGTTTCAACAGTTAGTAACTCATTTTCTGCAGGTTTATTCAGAGCCTTATTTTCTGTTGCCGCTTCAACCTTTCGTCGCGGTGCTTTAAGAGGAATATATCCACTCAGACGAGAGGCCAGACTTCGTTTAGGACGAGTTTGTTTTGCCTTATAAAAGATTCACAGTACAGTATTAGCAGCCTTCCTACTTTATAGATTAAAAAAATCCTGATCATCTGAACCAGGGGTCGGCAACTTTTCAGAAGTGGTGTGCCGAGTCTTCATTGTTTCGCGTGCCAGTAATACATTAACGTTTTTAGAAGTCTTTCTATAAGTCTATAATATATAACTAAACTATTGCTGTATGTAAAGTAAATAAGGTTTTTAAAATGTTTAAGACGCTTCATTTAAAATTAAATTAAAATGGTAGCGAGTGTGCCACTGAAAATCAGCTCGCGTGCTGCCTTTGGCACACGTACCATAGGTTGTCTACCCCGAACACAAAATTATTCTTTGCCCTCCTTTACAGTATTTAAATTCAGAAATACTCAGTGCCTACATAAAATAAAGTAGTAGCTAGACTAGCCTCCAATTTTAAAGACACTTTACATAATTGTATGTGTTAAATTAATTCACTCTTTGCTCCTTGAAGAGAAAGGAAATAGCTCAGAGGTGTTTGCAGAAGTACTTGACTTACTTTTAAGTTCAGCTTTCCCTTGTCAGGATCATGTACAACAGCATGCCTTGCAAGACTTTGCTGCAATTGAGAAGAAAGTTATGTTGACATGACCCAAGAGAAGATACTCTGGATTTTAAGGCAGTCTACAATACCTACTTTCATTGCAAACACTTTCCCACAGCCAGCATAATCACAAAAAAATGGTTTTTTCTCCTCATGAAATGAAAGAATATGGCTCTGAAGATTGAACACAGTTGTGTAAGTTCTCCCACAGCCTTCTCTTGGGCATCGACATACTTCTCTTTCTTCAGCATGTGTTTTCTGATGTTGTCGAAGGTAATCTTTGCGTTTGAATGTTTTGGAACATACACCACAGATTACTGGCTCTAGGTGAAAAACAAGAACAGAGCAACTTACTAAAAAAAAAAAAAAAAAAAAAAAAAATCCAAATGAAGGTTCTGACTTAAATAACTCAAGTCAGTCCTTTAGAATGAGAGACTCCAATTCATATTCACTAACCAAAGGAAATTCAGGGGCTGTTTCATGTTCTCATCCTAGACTATTCATATCTTGTACTAAGGAACTATTACACATGATCACATCAGTGGGCAAACGGGACAGACTTGAGTAGTATTTTTCAATTACAGATTAGCCAGAATGGTATAGAAGTATCTCATATTAAGCTGTATTAATTTGTAATTAATAAATTATATAGAGAGAGTAATTAAAGGAAGAATTTATAAAAATAATAAAATTTAAAAAAGAGCAGGTTGGTAAAACGTTTAGTGAGATTTCCCTTTAAGTTAGTATTTGGGTTCTTACCCAATACATTAGAGCACTGAACTTAAGTCACTGTATAAAACTGTAAAAACAAGTTTTACTGAGCTTACCTGCATGACTGTCCTTCAGATGTTTTAGATGTTCTGTCCATGTTTTCCCAACAAATGAACAGTTGTCTTTTTTGCACACATATCCTATTAAACATATTGCTTAGGTTTAGAAAATACACTAAAAATGTGTGAATTTGCCCGAGATCAGTCAACTAAATGTTAGATACACATATACACCTGCTCAATACAGGTCCAAGATAAGTGAAACTAAGTCATTCTTAACTTCCAATGCTTGAATGGTTAAGGAAACTTGTCATCTGAGTGTGAGGTGTTTTTGAGAAGGTGTGGAGCACTCCCATCTTCTTCCAGACCTCCTCTTACCTGTCCCTCCCACAAAAAAAAAAAAAAAAAAAAAAAGTTTCCACTTAACTGACTTTTTCAGAAAGGAAGAATTTTGAAACTTGGCATAGTGATATTTCTGAATCTTGAACAATTTGATTAAGTTTTATGATTGAAAAAAAGTGTCACTCTAAGTGGATGAAATGGTTTTTAGCTAAGGCTAATGAATCCCTTTCCCACTTGGGACATCACTATGCACTCACACAGCCTAACAGGCAAAGGCGGCTGCTGAGGTAATGTACCAGGAGATTAACATCTCCCCCACCCCACCCCACCCCCCCTCCAAAAACAAAAAAAGCTATTGTCTGTCAGAGCAGGAAGAGAGTTGGACACAATGCAAGTCTCATGATTTTGGAGATTTTCCCTAACTTGCTAAAGTCTGCACATTCTTACTTTCATTTAGAAAAATGAAATTTGCTACCAAGGTATAGTTAGCAGCAAGACTCTGAAGTTGCCCTTCCTTTACTCAATTCAGTTTTCAAGGCAGGAAAATGGAGTGCAACACAGGAGTTGTACACTTACCAGAAGATGTAAAATTAAAGTTTCTATAACAATGCTAATGCAGCCACAGTGTTTTCATGCTGAGTGCATAAGCTATATAAAGAGATCTGTTTTGTTCATGTATACCTAAAATCCACAGCATGTGCAGCATGGCTCAGTGTGTAAGGCTGCTGGAGCATGTTCGTGTTAATTTGAGGGCTGCAAGGGTTCAGAGAATTAGCTAGGATACACAGATACGGCATCAATTACCTATATAGCGTACTTCCAAGTTCATAGCAGCCAAAAGCCACTGGCTATTTGTCTTATGTGAAAGGAGTAGTTCAGTCCAATTCTGAATTAAGATACCTCATTATGAAGTGGCATTGCAATTAGCTCCTTTGTTGGCACTCAGCAGAGGGCAAGGCCCACAGACTATCCTCAGTTCTTAGACTGCTTCCCACTAAGAACTGAGATGGGGCAGAACAGCACTTAGGCACTCGCACTGTAAAGCTGACTGGAACCAAATATTGGGCCTACAATACTTAAGCTATTGGAACTGTACCTAGATTTTGTGATAATTGTCCTCTTACACTGGTAGAATGTAAGCCACATACCAATCTTTGATTTGCCAAGACTCAAGTTTGCATCAGGTATGATTAAATTAGGTTTAAGTCATTTGACTTGGAGTTAAAACTGAGCACAATTCTATCTTATATTAGGTACTTATATGGCCCCCATCACTAATATCTCAGTGCCTCAGTAGCTAATGTATTCATTCTCAGCCTCCTTGTGAGGTAAGCAGGTACTATTATCACCATTTTACAGATGAGGAATGGAGTCAGAGGCTAGGGCCCAGATTTTTAAAGGTATTTAGGCACTTCTCTACTCAGCATTGCAAGGCACAAATGACAGGCCAACTAAGTCTCATTTTCAAAAGAGACAAGGCATATCTGCACTGCCCTCCAATTTGGGCTAAGGTGGTGTGAATAGCTGTGTGCACCAAAGTGCTGTAACTCCCCTGTATGGATGAGGTGGGCATGAATTTAAAGTTCCTAAATTTGCATACGAGATTAAGTTTTACTGAAAGTTAATGGAACTCAGTGTATGTACCTAAATCACTTTTGAAAATGAGGCAAACTGCTATGTCATTTATGCCTTGCAATGCTGAGCAGAGCAGAATTTTAGAGGTATTCAGGTGCCTAGTGCAATTTTCAGAAGTTGGGAGTTAGGCACCTGGTTACTTTTCAAAAATCCCACATCTGCATTTTTAGGCCCCACAATAACTTTAAAAATTGGGACTTAAGTGACTTGCCCAGGATTACACAGGAAGCATGTGGCAGAACAGGGAACAGTATCTAGGTCTCCCAAGACCTAGGCTACTGCCTTAACCACTGGGCCATCATATCAAAATAATCTCAGAGGGAAGGAAAGTGTGATCTGAGAAGGACCTACCTGAACAGTATGACTGAACACACTTGGAGCTATTCTGCCAAGCCTGTGAATGTTCTCACTTACATTAAAAGTGAAGTTACACACTGAATACTGCAACACCCTATAATTACACCTCAGCCAGCTATCCAATTAGTCTGTGCTGTTTTGTGTCAATTTAGACCATTTGGTTCGTGAAGTGAGGGCCATGTCTAGATCTGGTTGTAGATCTCCAAGCCCCCAGGCTACACTGAAAAACAAGCTATTTTGTGGTGCTTCAGTCACACTGAAGTAAGAGGGAGAACTAGATTACCTTCATGTATCTTCTCATGCCGTTTTAGTCTACTCGGAGTAGGAAAATGTTTTCCACATGCTTCATGACTACATCTAGGTGTTAAACACATTAAAAACAATCAAACAAGGCAAAGCAAAGACACTAATGAGCCAAAAGCAATTAGAAGGGTGCAATCAAATATATTTTTTCAAAAAAAGATTCTCTATGTTCTTTACAATAAAATAGAACACTACACAGTGCAGCTCTGATCAGCCTGATCCACTCAACAGCTGCAACTTTATGTTGTAATTTTGAAACATTTTCTATGTATATAGCAAGTATCATCCAAGACTTTAAAAGCTTAGTTAAACCTCGTATCATCCCTGTAAGGTAGTTTCTCCTTCTGGAAAATGGGGATAGGTTAAATGATACATCCAAGGCAATGCAATAAATCAATACCAGAGCTGGGGGTGGGGTGGGGTAAAACCAACAGGCATCTGTCTCCTGTTCTTGTAATCTAGCCAGTGGACTATGCTGCCTCCTTCAGTTATGCTATATATAGTTAGAAGTAACAATGAAACTCATAAGAAAATTCCACCTATAAGAAATAAAAGACCTAATTTTGCTTCCATCAATTAATATGGGTTTGCTTTGCTCATGGAGACGTACAACTCCACAAAGGTAGTACTTTTCAGTCAAACCAATTGTGTCCTTACACCTAACTCACTTTTGCTCACCACTCACCTGTGTGTTAATTAAGCAGCTACTCCCTGATGGGGAAGCAGGCAGGGGAGCCAACCTGGTAAAGGAAAATGCTATTCTACATATGGATTACACTTTATATGTAAAATTTAAACTATACAGTTGGATGATGCTGTAACAAATCCAAAGCATTGAATGTACAAACTATTTCCAGTTATGGAACACAGGACTGCTGCTCAGAATAGACTGGCAAAGTGAAGGGATAGTTCAACACATGCATTTGTATGTATGTCTGTAGAGAAGTAAGCTGTTAAGCCTGAAGTTAACCTAACAGCATCCCTTAAAAATAAAAAGGAAAGCATGTTTACATATAAAAGGTCCATAATCAAAGTAGATTTGTATCATCCACCCACACTGAAGATCTCGTATCTTATTTCATTTAAATATTGTATATGGGAACATCTACAGTTTATTAAAATTATTCACCTACTTGAAAAAAGGTTCACTGGTGTGTTGACAATGATGAACTTTTAGCTGCTGATGTTTTCTAAAAGACTTGCTACAACCTTCAAAGTCACACTGTTTGGAAAATTAAGTTGGTTATGGTTAGAGAGAGGCCAATATGATCCACAGGTTTTTGCTAATATTACAAATTCAGTACCAAATATGCAACTGTTTTATAACAACATTTAAACATGCACTCACGTTTCTAGGGTCTGAAATATTTGGTTAACTAAATTAAGTGGAGGCTGTTTAATGCTAAGCATATATTAGCAAAGAGTTACTTACTACATACTGCTTTTGCTGATTTTCATGCTTGCGTTCAACATGCTTCTTCAAATTTGATTTTGTTGTAAATTTTTGATTACAGCCATCAGCTGTGCACCTGAAAATAAATTATATTTTCTTAATACTGTATTCAGATAATCAGGAGAGTGAAGGGAAAGAGCTAGAACAACAAGTCAATATTTTTTAATGAACCTACCAGTGTCTTCAAAATATTGCACAAACATTAATCAAACCTCACAACCATCCTACAGAGTATTATCTATATTTTAAAGATAAAATGGCAGGATAAGTGACTCATTTAAGGCTACAGTGGAAATCCCTGTCCGAGCACAGATTTTAAAATTTAGGGGTTCCTGGCTCCCAGACCATCACATACCCACACCAATTCTTGGAAGTTTGTATTTCGCGTTAGAAAAGTTGGAGTGCTTTATAGTATTATGGTATTAAAAATTCCTGAAATCTTTTAATAAAGAGTCTTATAACTGTACAGTTTCTTTCATCCTGAAAGCTCCAAGAGAGTTCAACCCACGTAGAAGTCACTTCACCCAATGAAATGGGTCAATATGAGGTAGTTTAAACAGCCAAGAGTAACACTACAAATTTACACAAGCACCAGTGTTCTCTGTTTTATGTCTCATTTGAAAGAGGGGCCTTTCAGCAGCAGTGCTCCCTAGCTATGTTGGGACATTGGCTCACTTCTTAATTGAAAGACAAAATACTAGCAGCTGAATCACCAACATCCTATAGAACCGGTTTCTCTTAGTATTCCAAGTTCTGTCCATGCCCAATCCTGTTTAGCACAAAAGACCTGGCTGACCAAGTTAATATGGTTTTGCATTTTTCAATTTGGTTCATTTGCAAAAAATGTAAGAATTACTTGATAAGTTTATTTGCACAGTTGCTTCAGTGACCTCATTAAGAGTAAGAAATATATAGCTACATCCCCCCGTTTGTATTAGTAATAGAACTAGTTGGGAATTTTTTGACAAAATGATTGTGTTGTCAGAAAACGTCATTTTCTCTAAACCAAAACTTTCATGGGAATTTACCAGATTTGATTAAAAACTTTCCTTGGAAAGTGGGAGACCAAGGGTCAAGTCCCTGCTCTGAATCAGGCAAAGGTGTCTCATTCGGGGGCGTGGGGACGGAAAAAAAAAAAAAAAACACCAAAACTTTAAAACATCTTGGTTTCATCTGCTTATGGAACAGGAAAATTTATTAAATCTTCAAAAATACTCCTGGGACGGGAAAACAATTTCCCACCCAGCTCTAGTTAGTCAGGCATGTAAAATTTTGTACATGGCAATATGCATTTTTAATATATTACAAAAATAAAGGAGTGATTTCTGAAGATTTTAGTAGTACAGGAAAGTTTAAATGACAGTGTCATTTAAACATTGTATTCAGTTCTGGTCACATCTCATGAAGAGACTTCCACTGGAAGAGTTTGAAAAGGTTAATGCTAGTTATTTGAGAAATGTGTGTCTCTTTCCTTCCCCCTCCCCCACCCTCATCCCCCTAAGACAGTGAATGGAACATCAAAGGTAGTAAATCAGGTAGTCCTGTTTACTTTCTCTCAACCTAAAAGCAAGGGACATCCAATGAAACTGAAAGAAAAATTTAAAACTGATCAAAGCAAACAGAGACCAAGAGCTTAGTAGGATTCCAGTAAAGGATTTGGTATTTGTACTGAGAACATGCAAAGTTACCTCAGATTAGATAAACTAGAACCCTCAGGCATCATTGCACAAGCCAACCACTAACTGCTTGGTGCTAGAAGGACAGGGTATTCCATAAACATCTACTATGGATTCCTCCCACCCCACCATCCTCTGAAGCATCTGGTATGGGCCATTGCCAGATACAGGATACCAGGCTAGATGGCTCACTAGTCTGAAGCATCATGCCAGCTCGTGTTGGTTTCTATGACACTGAAATCATACTAGTGTTATACTTTGTTTGGCTTTCCTGAATGTAAGTTTTCTATTTCGGTGTGTTTCTATAGGACAGCAGCTAATCATCTTATTTAATGCCTGAAGGAAACGAGTACAATACTTACTCAAATGGTTTTTCTCCACTGTGCGTAAGAAAGTGACGGGTAAGATGGAAGTCTCTGGTGAAACCTTTACCACAACCATTATAATTGCAAACAAATGGTCTCTGACAGAAAGAAAGAGAGAGACTACTTAAAAATCATAAAAGTAAGTTATTTTAGGAGACTGATTTTCAGGAGAAGCTGCCCTTATATTAATGAAACCAAGTAATTTTTTTCCCCTTCATATAAACAGTGCATTTAAGAACCATGAGGAAAAAAATCAGAGCGTACAGGGCACAGGTTTAGTCGGTATTAAACCATTAACAGTTACAGAAAATGTTTAAAATATTCATTAATGTGCATAAGTTTTCTCTTTAGAAAATTAAAGCACTTTAATATCCTCAGGTTGCACACACAGACTGTTATGGGAACCCATTTAAAATATTTTACTAGATAAAAAGAAGTCTCAAACTTTAATCTGGATTTTTTTTTAATTTAAGAAAATGCCAAAAATCTGTACCCATAAGACTTTGAGTTTATTTCTAGAATTCAGACAAGTTTCTTATAAGATGATTAATGTTTCAGAATTAGCACAGGGTGATCTTACAATAGTTTAACTGAAAGACAGAGAAAAATAGTAATGCAGTTTTTGTTTACATTGTGTATTTGACAGCATTTTGAGTATAGTCAATTTTACTAAAGTTAGTTTCCTCTTTTTGTGTGTTTTTTCCATACAGCCACATGGGAAAGCACACACACTTTAAAAATAAATAAAATAGGAAATTTGATGGTTAAGCCACAAAATTTGGTAGGAGGACAGACACCTGAAGGACCTGGATCTACTTTTAACTAACTAGATTTCAAATAGATAGTGTCCTTTTAAATTGTTGGAGGCTATTAACGTGGTACAATGCTTTCTATTTCTATCGATTCTTTCACCCAAGGAGCTTGAGGAGTTATCAGAGGTTTGTAAAGTGCTGTGGAGATATGTTGCCAATCCTGCAATTGACTATGCAATCCCAGGGAGCCCCAAATGATTTCACTAGGGGAAAAGGACAGGGGAGGGAGTCTGTTCAAAGTCAGTTGAAGGATCACCACCTCACAGATAAGAAGACTAAAGCACAGAGAGGTTAAAGTGCAATGTGAGTGGGAGCTTTTTTTAAGTGACAATTTTTTAAAATCAATTTTCTGAGAGAACATCCTTTGTTATACCAGGATTTTTTTAAAATTCTTGTAATTTAAAGGGCAATTTAGTGTTTTTCTGTCATGTTTAGAAAGGGCTTCTTAACCAATCTGAGCATACCATCACCAAACATGCTCAGTCACCCCTTCCCCACTAATTCACACTCTCGTCTGTGACTTGGTTACTTCCAGTTTAAATTCTGCTGTTACTATGAATGGTAAACATCCTCTTGCAGAACCTAGGAAAGGGTGTGCACCCCTCAATAAAAGTGAAATCACCTAGACAGTGTTGCCAAACCTTCAAAATAAAATGATGAGAAAAACAAGGATTTTTTTATTATCTCGCTCACTCACAGTAATCACAGCGGTTGCTTGTGACAACGGCAGACACCAGATTTTTCACGTGAAAAATGTGATTTCCAAATTGATACTGCCCAGCAAAGTTATAAATGGTACCTAGGAGTCCCAATGCCCATTTACACAGCAGGGCTCAGTAAGTGCTGCATGCCTAGTGCATCACTTCCTCTGAACTGTTTCCTGTTGAAATAAGTCACCGCCTTGAAGAGAAGGCTCTGCTCCTTGCCCTAAAGTTTCTTGATATCCCTCAACTCCTGCCTTATGCTATTGCAAAATGCCCAGTTAGACACTGCTGCCCCTCCCCAGGGCTATGTTATGGGGGGGTGTGTGTGCGGGGCAGGGTGGGAGGGTCCCATAAAGCACACAATAGGGCAGCTTGCACATCTGAGGCACAGGCTCCTGGCACACACCAGTCCTGGGGGCTCTATGGGATTATGTGAGCAGTCCTGGCAACCTGTCTTCAAAGCACTTCAGGCATCTTGTGACAGTTCCTCAGGCGGGCAGAGGCATTAGGCACGGAGCACATGTTTGCTAGCCCCATGCCAGCTGCACCAGGCAGACTGCCTGCTTCTTGCCCACAGGCAGCCCCCGGGGCCTCATGTGCCTGGCCCCAGGTGGCAGCAAACCAGGCCTGGTTCATCTGGCAGGTCACCCTACCAGGGCAGCGCAGCAGGCAGAGACGCCCACAGCTCTGGATCTTGGGGTGAGAGACACGGAGTAGAGCCCACCCCGTCCCCACCCCAGGCGAGCAGGGCTCCAGAGGTGGGCAGCTCGCCCCAGCCCCGCCCCCTCCCGTGCCAGCCCTAGCCCCGCCCACTTACCGGCCCCACCCCGCCTCAGACTTCCCCCTCCTGCTGGCCCCACCCTCTCACCTCCCCCGTGTGCCGGCAGAGATGCGCGTTCAGCCTCCAGGCCTTGCTGAACGTGGCCTCGCAGTCGGGGAAGGAGCAGATGAAGCGCTTGGCGCAGTCCGCGGGGGGTCTCGACTCCCCCATGAGGCCCCGCACAGGCAACCGCCGGCTCTGTACACACTCGGCCGCCGCTCCTGCCGCAGCCTCCTCCTCATCCCCAGCCATGCTGACACCACGTGATGCGCTTCTATTCTTGGCGCCGCCCGGCGTCTTTTTTGTGTCCCCTCTCGGCTCCTATCCTCCGGCGCGCGCCCGCTTGACCTCTGTGCGCTGCCATCGGATTGGCCCCTGCTGTGCTGTGTGCGCGTGACAACGAGGCGCGTTGTCCCGCGGGCGTCACGTGCTCCCGAGCGAGCGTCAGGACGCTGCTAGGAGGCGGTGCTCCCTGGGATAAAAGAGTTTGCGCATGCGCTATAGCCTACTATGCTTCTCTTCCTTGCGAGCGCGAGGGAGCGGTTAGAGCTAAAGGAGGGAGGCGGAGACTAAGACCTGCTTTAGGGGAGTGGGCTGGGACCCTACAGCTGCGGGTTCGATTCTAATCCTCGCTGTTCTGTGCCTGACTGGCCATAACAGTTGGAGGAGGCAGGAATCGGCCATGGGCAGCCTGTGTAGAGGATTAGTTGTGGTTCCCTCTGTCAATAGCCTGGTACAGTTTCTGGGTGAAGGTGTGTTATCAGCAGTTGGATCAACAGTGCAAAAAGTTAAGGTGCATCTGATGTTCTCAGAGGGGTCTGATTACCTGCTATCTAATCCTTGGGCAATGGGTACCTCTCAAACCCCCTGCCTGGGGTGCAAAATACAGCATGGGGGGGGGGTATTTATTTATATAAACCGCCTCAAACACCAGTTACCACCACAAGTTAGGATAGCTGTATTGAGTAAGCAATGCCATGGGGCACAAAGGTCTTTCACATAAGAAGATTTGAGGTACCATAGCTGAATGTTTAAGATTATTCTTGCACACTTTAGCTTCTCCATTGTTAGTGTGTACTCAATTTTAGATGCTATAAAACAGAACAAGTGTTGCAATTAAAATGTTTTATATTCTGAGCTCTAGTTAGTAAAAATCCACCAGCAAAAATTTCTTTCTTGGCTGGATGTTTATTATGCAGCTCTCAGAGAGCTCATGCTATATTGAATAACCCTGGTTGTCACCTTAGTTTCCTACTCATGCATATAAACAAATTCTGTCTGTCTTCCTATGCCTTGCTCAGTCTGTTACTTCATGTGTTAGCCATCTTGGATTCTAATCTGATTTTGCAGTTAGCATTGTTTAATCTACTGACAAAGTCATTCAGTTCATTGTTAAACTTTAAATTTTAAGGCCATTCTACACATACAGAAATGGATATCTCTATATAGAGACTTTTAAAATCAGCTGGCCTTCCAGGAGTAATTTTTTTTGTTGGTGAAAAGACAGGTTGAGTGTATAAGTCATCTTCAAAAGCGGACACAGATTCTGAGTGTTTAAACTCATCCTGTTCTGGTAGCTTGGTTTTATTGGTAACTCAAAAATAATAGCACAGCATAAACCTCAGCCTAAACTTCCTTGCAGAGCTTGGCTGTTTCTCCAATTGATTTTCTCCAGTATTTGCACTGTCCTAGTTTCCAGAGAGCCCTTCTCACATCCCTTATATGCAGGGCAAGCTGTACCTGACACTATCTCAATAGCAATCAGTCAACATATCCATGCATGGTTCTAACTTCTACTAACAAGGTGAGGCAAAAGAAAACCCTGCTAGAGGAGGGATGATGGGAAATCATTAGTATAAATGTTCCTTTCTTGTCCTATCCCAATTATGCAATATTTCTAGAAGTGGTGTCTCACAAAGCTTTGGGGGAATTACTGAGCTGGTCTCTGAGAGGCTCTTTGTATTAGCCAGTGGTCCACAGAGGGAAAACACTGGAAAATCTGTGGAGTAATAGGTTGTTCTGATCTGAAAAATGTGTTCTGAATCAAAAGACTTCCAATAAGTCTGCCCCTGCTGTGGGGGACCAGGGTTTGGTTTCTACCCAGTCCCTCTCTCACTGGAGTTTTGAAGCACTTAGGCCCTAAGGGAAGGGCATTCCTCTGGTCATACCACAGTGATTGGTTTAGTTGATTAGGCATCACTGTTCACAGACTCCAAAGTGCATCCCATTCTGTTGTCTCTGGACTGAAGAATTGTGGCTGCCACATAGGGCCTCAAAGTGTGAAGGAAATGACAAAACTCAGCATTCCCTCAGGTCAGGCTTAGGTTCTTGTGTTTGATATTTGACTGGGACTTGGGAGACCTGAATTCGGTTCCTAGCTCTGCCACTGATTTCCTGCATGACTTCAGGTGAGTCATTAACCTCTCTATGCCTCTGTTCAGGGATGATAATAATACTTCCTCCTTTTTCTCACCCATGGTCTGCCTTGTCTGTTTAAATTATAAACTTTTGGGGGCATGATTTGTCTCCTGCGTGCGTGTACAGTAACTAGCACCACATGAGGCCCGGATCTTGGTTGGGACTTCAAGGTGTACAAATAATACATTTATATTATTATTTTATTTATTTATTTATTATTGTTTATTATAGAAGTTCCCAGAAGATAGCAAAGAAACTTACTTTTTCCTTTTACTTGCCAAGAATAGTATTTGTTTAATTAAAACCTTCTTTCTGTTCTGCACACCACCACCTTCCAGTGTATTTGAAGCAACATCTGTGAATAGTTAACAGGAGATTTAAAGAATACTGTAGGAACTGAAACAGTAGGGTGAATACAAAAGGGAAGAGAGTAATAGAGGTAGGACAGAGCTGGAGAAGATGAGATGAGACTAATTGTGTCTCTATTTGCTTACATGAGATTAGTTTATATACCGGTATGCCATTGATTAAGGGACAAAAGGCTTTACATTAAAAAGCTTCATACTGCCAGGTGAGTACAAGCTCTGGCGGGACCTTCCTCTATATGAAATATTAAAAGGGGGAAATATTTTTCTGGCAGGTGACAGCAGGAGAAATTGTCCCTCTCCCAGTGCCTAAGGTAATTTTGGTGGCATTTCAATGAAGTGATCCAGCACAACTCAACATAGAACTTTTCACTTTCTGAATGTTAAAGGGGAATTGTGTTTCCCTTCAGTCTGATAAAGAAAGCTTGACAAATATTTAGGGCCTGATTCCCCAACCCTTATGTTGAGTAGCACTTGAGGGTGCCATTGAACTCAGTGTGTTTAAGAATTGTGACAGACTGACAATATCCTAAAGAAACCTTATGGAATTAACAAACTTAATTGAATTAAGCTAAACCTTACTGAATTAGGGTTAATACCTTTGGGTACATTGTATTAAAAATACAATTGTGTATATGGTGTTGCACTATATGTACCTTCTCTAGTTGGGAGGTGATGAACTTCCTTCCTTATCAGCCTTTGAAGCATCCCCTGGGGAGATATGCATATACTAGCTCAAACTGGATTCTCCAGAGACCAACAAAGAAAAGATTTGTGGATAAAAAGTCTGGGTTTAAGATGACTCAGGGCCTTTTTCCTGATCCAGCAAACAGATGGGACTCCTAGTCCACAGAAGGCCAGGCCCCAATCCTAAGGAGAGGATTGGGCCTACTGAGGCCTCATAAGATTGTGTGGTTATTCTCAGCTGAAGCTGTGATGAACTTGTAAGGCAAAGAAACCCCTAGGATGGGATGATAATTAGTAAGCTTATTAGCAGGTGTGTAGGTTTTTAATGTTTTCTCTGTAATGCTTTTTACCTTAAGAATAAAGTAGGCTTGTTTAGAAAGATTTGTATTGTAACTTATATTTCAGTTATCCTTCTCTGCAGAGAAAGCAGCAGGTGTCCTTGGGCAATCTGTCTGGGCTGGAAAATACACAGTGAAGGCAGGGAACTGTGTAGCCTGGGAATGGCCCGTAGAGAGAGGTGGGTCTCCACCCAAAAGTGGTAACAGTGGGGACCTGGAAGCCTGAGATTGGGTGCCCTTGCTGGACCACAACGGGGACATACAGGTGCAGTTGCCCTGACCTGTCCAGAACTACTAAGCATCAATAAGAATTTCAGAATTGGGCCTTCAATGAATTTCCAAACAAAAACCAAGATGAAGGTTGAGCGTAAATGACAGTAACTTTCAGAATACATTATAGGAATGTTTCCAAAACCAGGTGTTAAAAACCAAAAACTTCACAGTTAAAGTTAAATTGAAAATAAATCAAATCATTTTGAGGTGTGGAAATGCACCATTAGGACACCCAGATAACCTTTAACTTTGCTCTTCAGTGACACCATGCAATAACCATCTGTTTATGATTAAGATGTTTTAGGGTTTGTGGTTCCAGATTAGATTGACTTGCTTTGTAAAGATGCATTCATCCCCTCCCCCCACTCCTCCTCTTCCTCTCCTCCTTCATTGTATCACTAACAGCAGGAAGCAATACAATGTGCCTTCTTTGAAACTGGCCACCACCACCTCATTTTTCCAATGAACATGAAACCAGTGGCCATTTTTTAAGAGCAGCCTGTGGCCTGCATCCTCTTGAGAACAATGGAAGATACACACCACTCTCTCAAAATGGCCACTTAACTGTGGGTCAGTTGTGACCCCAATTAACTGAGAATGATGTGTGGTATCAGCCATTTTGAAAGCCTGCAATTTTACAGGGTATTCTCTGTTGTAGATATATTATTTATCAGATGCTGCTGATGGAGAAACTTTCAGTTATGAAGAGTAACTAGGAAAAATTATCTGTAATCCTATTAGGAATAAAAAACACAAAGCCCCCCGCCCTTCATGTAGCCTATGCACAAGATTTCACTATAGGGGAATTTGGAAGCATCTGTGGTGTTCTATTACAAAGTTAATTCAGAATTCCAGACAAAGGAACAAAGGGCTTGACATTGGGTACTAAATTCCGCAATGGGCCAATTTTAAAATTAATTTTAACTAATAAACTAATTAGCAGATTTACTTGTAAATTCTCAGAAAACTCATTTGGCTCAAAGATTAAATGTTGTAATTTTAGGGATGATGCTCTTTAGTTTTCATACATAATCAAGTGATCAAATCCCTGCTTTCAGTGCAAAACTCAGCTCACCCTTAACTATGGAACCATGAACATGTCAATAATAATAATAATTTTAAAGTGCCATGGAATGAGAGCCCAAAATCTTTACTTTTTTTGTAAAGACCATATAATTCTTCACATACATTTTCCCCTCAAATTCTTCACCATAATTTTTTATTTTTAAAAGATCAATGGCATTAGCCTGGC